CTGGTCACCAGCACTCACTGCTCCCCCACCAGGACCCCATGACAACGCTCCCATCCAAGGACCCTTGCCTGTTCCTCTGCACGCTGCTCCCCACTCCAGGATGTTCCAGCCCCACAGAGACCCCCACCACCGATCCTACAGCCTTTCCATGACCCACAGTCCCTTCCAGGCCTTCACTTCCATCCTTCCTCAGCTTACATTCCATGGTGCACCTGAGACATATTAAACATTTTAAGAGTTTATTTGAGCAAAAATTGATTCAAATGAGGCAGCACCGAACTGGAAGTGATTAGGAGCATTCCGTTGACGGGACAAGACTAAGGAGAAGACACGGAAGCAAAGCAAGGACCTTGTTTGATTGGCTGGAGCTTAAGCAACCACCTGTGGGAAAGTTGCATTGGCTGTTAGTGATCAGCTGCCCTCAGGTTTCAATTTCTCAACCTTGAGGCATTTCATGTTTGGGTTTTAGTTTGCTTGCATGGGCCGCTAAGGCTTTAGAGCTACTCAGTCCCTTGGCGTCCTTGGATAAGTAATTTAGCACACCATTATACTCCTTTCCTTGCGAGCACGTTCAGCGCTCCTATTCCTGTGCCCCCCAGTCATGCCGCCTATCAAGTCCTAACCCCGGCCAAGTATTGCATGCTTTCACGAGGACGGGTGGATGTTGCTGGAGGAAATGACGCAACCCTGTAGACTCACTTTCCGTGTGTGACCTTGGGTCTCATGGTTCGGTGCTGCCAGACAGCCCTCTTACACTGTGGGAGAAATTCGCCCTCCCTCTCTCTGCACCTCCACGCTCTCACCCAGTGGCCTCATTCTTCCCACACAACCCCATCTCATGTTGATGACATACCTGGTCCACACTCACGCCTGTTCCTGCCACGGTGATTGATTGCTTCCTGGCTCTGTCCAGAGTCACCTGCTACCCCCACCCACCCCCACCTTCCTTCTCCACCGGGTCCTCCTCTCCAAGAACTTGCTGCAGCCTCATCTCCTAATCTTCTGCAAGATTCCCTGCTTCTCTGTGCTTGACCTTTCCCTTCTGCACAAGAATGCATTTTAACATCAAGCTCTTGCAAAAAGCCCTCACTCCACGGACCCCACCCCTCCCTCCACCTTCTTCAAAGAGCTGGCTCCCCTGGCCGACCCTGTTCTTTCCTCCATCTGTTCTAGATTGGCTTTTGTCCTATGCATTGTCTTGTCCACATTGCCCAAGCCAGTGGACAGTTACCTGCCCTCACTGCTCTTCTCAGGGTATCTGTGACGCCTGCCCTTGTTGCTTTCTCCTTCCCCCATGCCGGGCTGCTCTAGGCTCTGTCTTCCCTGTTTCTCTATTCACCCTCTCCAGATGCTCTTCTCCAGACTCATGGCTTTAGCTGTCACCTCTACCCCCAATGATCCCCAGATCGTGTGCTCTGACTTCTCCCTGGATCCCCAGACCTGTACGTCCAACGGTTCACCTGATGCTTGGCTGTCCAGAAGCCTCTCCAGCTTAGTGTGACCAAGATGGACTCCCCACTGGCCTCTCCAAATCCACCCCCTCCAGCCTTCCCCAACCCCTGGGGTCTTTCACATTCACCTCCAACCCACCAGCAGGTCCACTTTTCTCTACCTTGCAGGCAGTTTTTATTTCAGCCACCTCTCTCCACCGCCATGCCTGCCCACCATCCAACCTGCCCTGGTCCCTGAGCACCCACAGTGCCTCCCACATGGCCTGCCTGCTTTGGAATCTGCCTTCCCTCAGGCCCCTTCTGCATTAGAGGCAGCAGCCTGTTTCCACAAGCAGTCTAGTGCAGGCGACACCCCATCTCAGGAGAATGTTTTTAAACATGTGAAATGAAATTCATAGGGAATATAAAGGAAACCATTTATTTTCAAATACAGTTATCAAAATACATTTTAATTGCCATACAATAATAGATGTACTTTTTTGTTCGTGCATTACATAAGATCTAGCAGATACCATAATTTCAAAGTAATAAGCATAAATATTATCTTGAGCTCTACAACTGTAATGTGATATAAAAAAATCTGTGATTTCGGTTAGAATAAAGTCACATGTACTTCAAATAACCCTGCACTAGTTTGTTGCATACATTTGTCTGAAGGAAATACTAAATTTCAGTTAGAGGCAGTGAAAATGAAGATGTAATTCTTTTACATCCAAGTTCATGAGCCTGCTGAGTTCTATCCACCGAGTTTAGGGCCCTGGGAAGATCTTCCCAGTTTGCAATGAGACTATGTCACTCCCATGCCTAAACCCTCAAGTGCTTCCCATTACACCATTCTCTCCTTCTGACCATCTTCCAGGCTTAGAGAACTTCTGCCTGGTCTTGAACTTGCCAACCTCATTTATCCAGCTCACCCAAGTCACCTGGCTGGCTCCCTCCCTCCCTCACATTTTCACAAGGTTCCTCCTTGTGACCCCATACGCTTTAGGACATTAGCACTGGCCACCCCAGCTAATGCTGCCTCATTCCCAGCCCAGTGGCCCTCCACCACGCTCCCTTGTGTGAAAAAGAAACTACAGGTCCAAAATGGGATCACTTGTGCTAAGCCCCTTGTCACTGCACCAAGACTTAGCACCTAGGCCCCTTGCAGTTTCAGGCTGTCCCAGAGATGTAACCTTTAACCAGTCAACCTGGAATTGCCTGGTCGGCACTAGGGAGGTAATCTGCCCAATAGGCCCTTTCTGTTCCCCTTGGGAGGGCCAACTTGACTATCACAGTGCATTCTTCACTAACAGTTTCCTTTCGCCACCCCCTTCCTGCCTTTAAAAACCTTTCCTCTTCTACAGCTTGGGGGAGCCTCTTTGCACTTGCGAGATGGGCTGCTGACCAATTTGTGAATTGTTCGATAAGGCAATTAAATCTCCGAATTTACTCATTGAACTTGGTTAACACTTGGTTTCTCTTTCACATGGCACTTAACTTCCCCCGACATTGTGTAGTTTATTCACTGTTGGCAGGGTTTTTGTCATCTTCCCCAGCTAGACTATCACCTCGCCAAGGCACGTGTCTTGTTCACTGCCATGAGAGAAGGAATGGACAGTAGCCAGACCATATATCATAGTAAAATTCTGAACCACAACCTGAAGTAACCAGCCCAGGAAGGCAGCCGGCTGGAGGCAGACAGGCAGGAAGTCAAACCAGTGTCTCTAGCAACCAGTTCAGGAAGGTGAACAATAACCCTGGAACAGCTGGCCTCAGATGATCAGGATCTATTAATAACTGACATCTGGGTCTCACCAGGGAGGACAGAAGTCTCCTGCAGCTGACTGTGTGTTGGAGGGCAGGAAAAGAATATAATTGCCTGTGGCTGGTTGCCTCATCTGGGCCCTGCAAGCGTAGCCTCTAATTCCCGCCCTGCACCTGGCCTTCCTGTCATTGATCCTAAGGGTAGTCATGTAACACGGGAGGGCTGGCAGATGCAGGATGAAGGGGACCTGGGTGAGGAACAGGAGGCTAGATTTCGGGCCCTAGCTGACCTTGCTGGTAACCTCAGTTCTCTGATCCAGAAACTTAATTTCTGTCCCAGCCCTGAGAGTGAGGTGGGCATGGAGGGTAGTCAGTCAAGACAGGCCTGTGAACACCCCCCCACCCCCACTGCCACAAGGCCAGTGTGGTAAGGGACCAGCCCTTTCTTCTCTCTGGGCCTCAATCTAGGAAGTATAAGCTATGATGTGGCTGTTAGCCTAGGTGGTTGCTAAGGTCTGCAGGTCCCACACCCAGGGGATTCTGGCCCCTGGATGGGAGAGAATGGCCAAGCCTGGGGGTCTGCAGTGCCTGAGGCAGCCCAGCCTCAGCCTCTGCCCTGCTTCCACTCCCCACCTGTCCAGGCAGAGTCTTGGCAAAAGCAGGGGATGCAGAGGACTTGGGAGGCTCTGCGGGTGGGGAGGTCATGCAAAACCCAAGTGTCCAGACACTTCGTGGGTGACATCAAACTGCACTAGTTGCTTTATGGATGAGGACACAGAAGGGGGGTAGCCTGATTCCAAAGCCCACACTCTACACTCCACACGGAGAAGTAAGGGTCTGTGCCAATGGGGTAGGATGGCCCAGTAGACCCAAATTGTTGGCTGTGTAACTCTGGACAGATGCTTAACCTCCCAGCACAGGCCACTGTGGAAATGCTTTGTGCGGTGTGGGACACATAGGTCAAGAGGTATTTTAGACACTTCCTAAGGGCACCAGCAGTCATCTAGGCGTGAGCCTCCCAAACTTCGATGTTCCCACACTGGTCCCCACCCTAGAACTTGTTAATCACAATTTTTACTTGTAAGTGAAACTTTTAGATGGAAACCTTGTGTCTCCATCATTAAATGAAAACTCTCTACTTCTTGCCATGAATTGAAGGCATCATGCAAAAAACTTTACGAAAACAAAGCAAAGACTTTAACTTCTATTTAAATGCTAGTGCCTGTTTTAAGATTTGCTGTCCCCATGTAAAAACGGAAATGACAGTGTCTAAAAGATAGTAAAGGCTTAGGTGGGCAACTGCTTGCTTCCTGCTGATTCGAAGGAGGGGAAGAAACGGAAAAGAGCCTCTCTCTCCAGGACACCCACCGACACCCACCGTCTCTTGGGTCTGGAGAACTTCTTTCTCCACCTTCCCGCCACCTCCTCCCGCGCCCTCCTCCCGCCCTCAAGCGAGCCCCACCCCCTCTTTCCCACCCCGGCGCGCGAGCTCCTTCCCTCCCCCGCACCCCTTCTCCCTCGCCCTCCGCCCCTCTCCCCAACCCCGCCCCGGGCCCTTCCCTCGGCGGAGGCGGGAGGGCGGTGTCCTGCCCCCTTTTGGGCCGTCCCGGCCCGGCTGTAGGTTCCGTCCTGCCCGCTGTCGTCCCACCGCGAAGACCTGGGTGGGAGGTCGGGCGAGAGCCCCGGCGGGTGCTGGGCGGAGCGGCGGTGCGCCCGGTCCCGGGGCCAGGAGCCCGGAGCCCGACGCCAGGCCCCGGCGCCCGGGGGAGCGGCGGCGCACCTGGAGCCCCGACCCGCGCCGCGATGTGCGACCTCGAGCGCGGCCGGAGCCTGTCCTTCTCCGGCTGCGGCTTCCTGAGCATCTACCACGTCGGGGTGACCAGCTGCCTGAGCGAGCGGGCCCCGCACCTCCTCCGCGACGCGCGCATGTTCTTCGGCTCCTCGTCCGGGGCGGTGCACGGCGTAGTCTTCCTCGCCGGGATTCCTGTGGGTACGTCTAGGGCCGCCGCCCAAGCTCCGCGCGGAGACGGGACGCACGCGGGAAGGGGTGCAGGCGGCTCCAGGACACGGATGCTGCGGGAGACATCCCGGGGGGGCCCTGTCTCCGATACGTGTCTCCTCCTCTGCGTGCACCGGCCCTGCACCTGCGGGCTCTCTCGCCGGGCCTGGAGCGGGACGTGGGAACCCCAAGCTCATCCTCAGCCCCGCTGCCCTCTGTCGCCAGGGTTTGTAGGACGTGCCTCGCCCTGGGAGTGAGCGTCAGGTCACCCCGAGCCAGGGAGCGGGCCCCGGGGGTGTGGTGTGGGCAGGGGAGGGCGCGGAAGGCGGAGCGGGTCCCTGCGG